TATTAGACGCCCCCTCCGCCCCTCCCCCTCCCGGCTTCCTGGATGTAAGCTCTTCCAGCGCAGGGGCCTCCCTCCCCGAGGCCGGCAGCTCCTTTCTTTGGGCCGCCTTTGGCTGAGTCTGCCTTTCCCTAGAAGACTTGCGAGGAAAAGAGACTAATTCCCAGCATCTGGCTGAATTAAAATAATTACATCTGCGCGGCTTTGCCTCCGCTGTTCCAGCTCCCGATTCCGTGGGAGGATCAAAGGAAGAGGGTGGAGTGGAGAGATGGGTTCCCACCAGAGCAGAGCTTCCTGCTCCAGTGAATGCATTCTGCCGAGGCAGACAAACCCTCCTCCTCCCGGGGGTGCGTGGGCGGCGGGGACCGCGAATTCGCGCGGCCTCCGGGGTGACCAGCACGCTTCCCAGCACACTTCCATAGGTTGCAGGAAAGCCTTGCTCATCTAGAATCAAAGTACCAAACAAGTTCCCACAATCAGCATCTGGTTTTTAAAATAGTCCGTGATACTTGGTGTTGACAATGATGAGCTTAAGCTCCTCAATCACCGTTCAATTATGCTCAGCGGGAAAGCCCAGTATTATTCCGTGTAACTGGCCAAGATTGCCTTGTCCTCACAAGAAGACCAGGACTCCCGGTTTACAGTCTATTTTGGTTCCCACCACAGGCTGGGTAGATGTGCTGACCCCAGGTTACAGACACAGAGAGGTGGAAGTGGCCTAAGATCGCAGGCTTCTACCCAGAATCCTCAGGGAGTCTTCCCCTCCCCCACAGTGACGCCATGGGCCCCCACAGTCCATGAACAGCTACGGGCGTTGTGGGCTTTGTGGGGCCACTAGCCTTGAGCAGCCTGGCGAGTGGGGGCCTCTGCAGAGGCAGGGGTGCTGCGGCCCAGGGAGCAGGCAGCTCCTTGCTCTCACCTTCCGGGACCCTGAGCTCCCCCTAGGCCTGCGGGGCACCCAGATCTTGGTTCCAGGCCAGTGAGCACGTCCTCGCTGCCTCCCAGTCAGGTCTCCGCACACACGGGCAAGTGTGACTTACCTCTCGGACCTGCTCATGTGCTCATTCATTCCATTTCAGCAGATATGCTTGGGCTCAGTCCTCGCCCTCCCAGAGTTTCCAGTTTAGCGTGAGAGACAGAAATGCCAGCTCGCCATCACAGTACAGCAGTAGTCCTCAGCCCTGCCAGACCGTGACCTCCTTTATCACAGATATTTATAGCATTCTGTACTACTCTGAAGGAAAGTTCACGGACAGCACTATGGAATGCCAACATACTAGTACATGCAGGACAGGGAAGGGGCCCTCACAGCCACCTGGGGGAAGATAGGTGGGTCAGGCAATAATAACAGCTTGTGCTAAGACCCTGGGGCAGGGAGAGACCAGGTCAGAGAGGCGAGGGTGCAGGTGGGAGTGGAGGCCAGAGTGTGCAGGACCTGTAGCAGGGGAGCCTGGCAGCCTCGAATCCTGAAAAAGTCAGAACTCTCATTGGTCTCAAGACAGACCTCAGGGAGCCAGCATCTCCCTGTGGGAAGAGCCCTGGGAGGAAGAATGAAAGATCAGAAGAAAGAGGAAGAGGAAGAGGAAGTCAGGGAAGCTGGCAGGTTTCCCGGGAGTCTGCAGGTTGGTGTTTAGGAGATGGGTGTGCTGTGCCAGCACAGCTATGTGTTCTGCATGGGGAGTGACCAGCATTCAACCATCACCCTTTCAAAGTTCGTTTGTGATTTTTTAATTTATTTTGGTCTTAGAAGTCATTAGTTAAAAAAAAAAGAAAGAAAACCAAACACATTTTTCCTGAAGCTAAAAAAATAACATGTTCACATGGACAAGTTGGAAGATACGAAGAAGAGAAAACGACCCGGAGATAATCGCTGCTGACATTTGACAATCGCCTGCAGGGTTTTTTCTGGGTGTTCGTGTCTGTGGCTTTTCCCTTATAATTAGTAGAATGTAGGACCCGGTTTTCTTTGATTCGTTAGTAGAACATGGTGTCCAGATTGTCCCCTGTCGTTAGATATTCTTGGAGAACAAGCATTTGCTAGCTGCGTATTATCCCCCTACTGTACGGAGGGGTCATAATTCACTGACTATTCTCTTAAGGGCAACAATATAATTAATACTGCAGTGAACATCTTCATAGCCGAAGCCTTTTTTCTTTTAAACTTTAATGGATGGGTTTCAGTTAGTATCCCAGACACACAGCTCAACGCATGGGAAGGAAGATGGTCAATCTAGGTTTTCAGTCTCTGGATGATCTAATCAACAGATGCGCAACGGATCGAATTGTTTGTAAAGTCGGTCGTTAGGTTGGATGAGAGAAGCCAGCCTGACCTCGGTGTGGTTATGACAGTCGATGCGTAAGAGGGCGAGGGCAAAGGCGAGGGCGAGGGCCAGGCTCCTTGACCAGCGTCACCCACCATCGGTGTTCGAATGACTGGTCTGTGGGGTCTTCGCTGATGCCCC